AGTTTCCTCTTCAAAAACCATATTGTTTTTTTCATTAAGATAGCCAACAATCCTATGAGATAGGTGAGGTCAGAAAAATTACTACATTTAAATATGAGAACATAAGTTATTTCCCTAGTATCATGTAGCTTTTTAGTAGGAAAACTAGGACTAGAACCTAGAGCTTTGTGATAGTGAATTTAAAGTACTCACTTGACTGGGCTCTTGGGTGCCCAGATATATGGTTAAACACAATTTCTAGCTATGTCTATGAGGATCCTTCTGGATGAGACTAACACTTGAATTTGTAGGCTTAGTAAAGCAGATTGCCCTTCACCATGTAGGTATGGCTTATACAACTCATTGAAGTTCTGAATAGAATAAAAGGCTGAGCAAGCCTTTTTTTCTCCACCTAACTCTCCTGGCTCTCAGCTGGGATATTGAGCTTCTCCTATCCTTAGATCAGACTGACTGAAACTTTCTTATTGGTTCTACCACGTCTCTAGCTTGCTGACTGGAGATTTCGGGATTTCTCAGCCTCTATAATTATAAAACCTAGTTTTTTATCATAATATTTTTATCTATTTAGCTATTTATCTGTATATCTATCCATCTATTCATCCTATTGATTCTATTTGTCTTAAAACTCCAGACTAATATAGGCTCTTTCCATGCTCTGAAACAGAGGTTGATTTTAAATGCATGTTGGAACATTCATTTAATAACATTAAAAACAAAATATTTTGACAGTGTATCTTAGGACGTTTGGAATGAATTAATGTGATGCTTTTAAAATCTGAGATAAATGTTTAACACCTAAAAGCTCCAGAGGATCCATAATTTTCTTAAAATTAAAAATGTAATTTAAAAAAATGGGATTTTGGTAGTTGAACTGTCCAGTGACCATTCTCAATTTTAGTAAGGGCTCTCCAATTTCCCACAGGTAACTAACTCTCATGTGCTCTCACTGTATCTTATTTGGGTGATGAGTTTATTCCCTTCTCTAAAGCTTTGGTCATTTGGAGACTCACATTGTCCTGGCTCATGTGATTAGTCACTTGACCCAATCAGAGGCCATCAGAAATTTTCCTGAGATTGTTGCTGAAGCATTTAACAATAAGATGTAATCATTTTGACTATTCTTGAATCTTGTTGATATAATCCAGGACTTGCAGCATAAAATGTGTAGATAGCCTATCTAACAAGGAAAGAAATATTGCAGAAAACTGTGTCAGAAATTAGAGAAACAGATTCCACGTGCTATCAGTTGAGGACTTGAACTCGGGTGTGCACAAAACATCTCCAGCTTGTATGATTTTTTTAGTTTCAGGAAACTCTTATTGCCCCATTGTTTTGAGTATTTTTGCTTTGAAGTGCTGTCACTTATAACCCACAGATCTCAAAACTCCACACAGTGTCAATATACCCATATGATGTCCTTTGAAATAGTTTTCTAGATGCCTCCATTAATATACTTCACAGAAATCATTCTGTGTAAGGTCATTGTTGTTAAAATGAATAATTCATGCTTCGCTATTTTCTCAACATCAAAATTACTGCTACAGATAATTCCTTGGAGTTTGAAGGTGAAGATCCCTGTCTCAGTGTTCCCTTATATGGTGATTTCATATGATTTTTTTTTCGCATAAAACACATTGAGCACATCTCTTTGATCTGTAATCATAATCAAATAGCACAGATAAATGACATGATTGTTACCTGATAGCTTCCACCCCTAAGAAATTGAGCTAATCATACCAAACATATTTATTTATGTTTACTCACCTTCCCAGATCAAGGTACTACAATCTTCTTTTAAAAATGACTGCTACTTCTGCTACTGTATTCTTAAAACTGAACAAATAAATAAATAGGGGGATAGATGGAGTAAATTAGTAGAATCTACCTGAAAGGTTGGAAACTGACACTCTTAAAACAGAATAAATCAACAACTAATATTTATCTAAGTGTGTACAATTCTCCGGCCAGTGCAGAGCACCTGCCTTGGTGTTAACCAGCATTTAACTACTGGGTAAGCAGGCTGCCAGTACCTGCTTAATGCCAGGAATTATGTTAGAATCTAAAGTCTGTGTTTGCATTATTTGTCCTTCTGTTTGGCTCCCTCCTGAGTCTCCCATCACCCATCCCTGCCCACCCACTCAGTGAGGGTGCCTGGTACAGGAACAAACCACTGTGCTAAGTTGATTTATTTCCTGCACAGCAGCCCACCCTCATCCCACCTGCTCCTCTTGTGGTTGAACAATTGGGTCCAGGTGTGTGGTGACACAGAGCAATGAAGACCAAAGCCAGAGCCACCTGTCTTTCTGGGTGGTAGAGGGAAAGAGTCATCCAGAAGACTGCACACTGCCAATTTAAAGCAGATTATGTCTTTAACTAGGAAAGCATTTGGCAAGGGAAGTAAAGGTACTATTTTTTTTTTTTTTTTGGCAGATAGAGTTTTTTTAAAATACTTTAAAACTCATGTTGCTAGAGATAACCTATTGACAAGAATAGGTTTAAGAAAAATAATAAGAAAAATAATGTAGTTGTCCTCTAAAAGATTTGATTTTTCTTAATAAGAAAAATAAATATGTAATTGTCCTCTAAAATATTTTAAAAGATATTTAGTGTTTTCTTGAAATTTATAATTCACTAGATGATCTAAGGTGTTTAACAGTTGTAATATATATCCACACACAATATATGGTACCAGACAGCAATAGAAGACTGGGACTAGCTTTAAAGTAGGAGAAAACATCTTTTAGGATTATGGAAAATAAGAGTCATATACAATGGATTATGTACTTTTTTATCTTTTATTACTTATTGTATTAAGTAAATTTAAAGTTCTGGCTCAGAGCCCGTAGCTCTGTGGTTAGGGCACTGGCCACAAGCTTCTTAAAGACTTGTTTAGAAGAATTGAATGTTGAAAATGGCTCTTTAAGAAGCATGCTTGGCAAAAGTGGAGAATCATTTTGGCTCAGAAAATGATCACAGTGTCTCTACTGCGAGGTCATGATGACCTCATTCTGGTAGTGACATTAGTATGCTGCTAATCAGAAAATTAGTGTGACCAACAATTGATGAGATATGAAGAATTTTGGGAAAAAAAGAAGGAGAAAAAGTGCCTCAGAGTTTTCCATTGTTTTGTAATTATGATGCTGCAATTAAAATAAAAATATATGACCATAAATTGGTAATTACTAATATCTGTTGGGCACAATGGTTGGTACTAAGTGCTTCACATGGCTTTTTTTTTTTTCATTTGATCCTCACAACTCTATGAGTTCAGTATTAGTGTTGTCTTCATCTTAAAGATACAGAAATGAAGTCTTCAAGAGGTCAAGAAAGTTGACTCAGGTCACATAGCTGCTTAATTTGAAAAGGGAATATCAGTGGTTACTGAGTTTGCATTCTTAGAGAAAGGGGTTTGATAGAGTTGACTTGAAGAAAAAGTAAGTTAGTTCATTTCACAGTATCAAGCCTTTAATGAGTGAAAAATTTTGGTCGAGCTCTGTTAACATAAACAGACACATAACAATGTCCCTCAAGTACATCATTAAGGTAAGACCCAAAACATAAAAGTATAGATAATAAATCAACAAAAGTGGTTCATGCAAAGTTCATGGTGAAAACATTTCATTAGCTTTAAGACAGAGGAAGAGAATAAAACTATGTCTGAGCAATGGGAATACATTTATTATTTATTAGAATAAGACAGGGTTGTGTTTCAATTATCTGTCAAACTGACCAGTTTGGTTTCAGACATGCTGCTCAGTCTGAATAATAGATACGTATTATTTGAAGATCCTTTACTGATGACCAGAAGATAAAAATTGAGTCTGGAAAGAGATTCAGGAGTCATATATTAAAAACCATTCCTGAAGGCAAAATCAGAGTGCAACTGTACCACTGGGAGGGTGGGCAAAAGTTTTCTTGTGTCTCCTTTTCCTCCCTTTCCTTCCTGACTTCCTTCTTCCCTCCTTCCTTCTTTTTCTTGTTTTCTTTTTTATACAGGGACTTCCTTATAATCTGAGGCATTTATGCCATAATTGTAGTATTCATTGAAGAAATAATTTGAGAAGAAAGTACAATCAGATAAAGAGCAAATTTGGGGCAGAAATTGGAGGAAATAGAATATAGGACAGTGTGCAGGAGGCCAGGAATAGATAAGTGATTTTATCTTTGATGATGTAAGTTCTTCTTTTGATATCTCTTTTAGGAACTACATATTGGTCTAAATGTGATTGGACATTTCTACTTGGCTATCCCACAAACACCTAAAGCACATAAAGTCCTAAACCTGGCCTAACAATTTATTCATGAAAGGCATAAAGAACCACTATTTTCCCCCACTCGAAAGCCCAAGAGTCATCTTTATTCCTCCTCTCTTACTCTCTTATCCACTCTCAAAATTATGTTGTTTATATTTATGTCCTCAATATTGTGACAAAATTTTAATTTTTACTCTTTCAATGTGAAAATCTACTTTATTCAAAAATAACTATTTTTTTTTCCTATTCTTGGTGTCTTGGCAGAATGGAAGACAGATAATTCTCCCACGTTCTCATGAGAGTGTGAAGATACAGGTATCCAGGTCCATGATGAAAGGGATGTAGTTTTCTAGTTACCACAGATTTTAACTACTGGTTAATGAACTCTTGAACTCTATTTCCTTTTTTTTCCTGATTTTTTTATTTAAGAATTTTGGGGGGTACACGTTTCATTTAGATACTTTGTTTTTGTACAGACTGAGTCAAAGGTTTTTAAGTGGGTCCTTCACCCTGGTAGTGTGCACTCTACCCAGTAGCTGTGAATTTACCCATCCTCCCTCCCCTTAGTGCAGTTTTCCCTGAAATTTCTTTCCAAGTGTGCCCTTCAGTGGTAATTGAATAGTTCCAATATGGTATCGAGTGCATGAGCTGGTTTCTCCATTCTTGTGATGTTTCACTTAGAAGAATGGTTTCCAGTGCCCTCCAGGTTGTCCAAGAAGATACTCTATTGCCACTTTTTTATGGATGAACAATATGGAATGCTTCATGAATTTGCATGTCATCCTTGAGCAGGGACTGTACTAATCTTCTCTATATTGTTCCAATTTTAGTATATATGCTGCTAACGCAAGTGCTCAAAGTCTATTTCAAAGAGACAGCATTGGAGAGAGAGAAGATGTTGTCTATCCTAGAGAAGAGGTAGGAGGCAGGAAGAGGTGCCCCAATTCAGAAATTTATTCAGAATAATGTGAAAGGAAGTAGGTCTGTGGAATCTTGAGTAGCCAAAACCCTGTTCTCTAGAAACTCTTTGGAGAGATAATATTATCTTATCGAGATAATACCTGATGTGTCTAAGTGGATGGAAGCCACCAGTTTCCAACATACAGTAAATCGTAGCGTGTTATATACCTAAGTATCAGACAAGTGAAAGAACAAGGCAGACACATCAATGAAAAATTTGAGAAGTCTTTTGGATAGAAGACTAATACCATTAGGTAAGATTTTGGAAACTTCACTTCTGGTGATGGGGGGAGAGAATAATAATCCTGCAAATAATAGTTTGAATTTCTTGCCACTTCAGCAAGATGTGGCATCAAAATCTGCATAAAATACAGTGGTAGAATATAAAGCAATATGGTATTTCCTGCATTATGATTAATCTCATTAAGGAAGAATTCATTTAATGTATTTTCTCCTCTAATAAAGTGAATTTACAAACAGTGATGGATTTTTTATATTACATTTGCCTTTAAAAATTGATAAACTAAATGAAAATGCATCTAACATAAAGATTTTTTAACTTTTTATTTTTTGAGGTATGATCTCATTTATTTGTTACTTACACAATCTTATTTTTGCCTGGAGTCAGACTTACAAGTGGAAGCTCTCAGAGTGGACAGGCTGGGCAAGCTGTTCCTGGCACTTTTCTCCAGCCTCCTTCATTCTCTTGGCCAAAAGTTGAGCGTATTTGGCAGCCTCTCCCTTATTTTTCTTTGTACTCTGTTTCTTTAGAGCAATACGCCAGAGTTTATGTTGCAAGATGCACAGAGTTACAAGACACTGAATCTGAGCTTTGGCCCTGCGGCCATTTGGTCCTTTCTTACCTTCTTTAAGGACTTTCTAACATCAACTTCTTTAGACAGACTGACAAGTTTGCAGATTCTGCCAGCTCTTTTGGGCCCCACATAGTGAGATACCTTACTATCAGTCAATCCAGGGATATCCCTCTCTCCTTTTCTTACAATAAGCAAGTTGAGAGTGCTCAGATGGGCATCCGCAGTGCAACCCCTACCAGACTGGCATGTCCTTTCTCCAATTCTCCCTCATCTGTAACAGGAATGCCCCTTACTCAGTTGCAGGTGGACACGGCCATAGCTCAAGACACCCTGCTTCTTGGGGAAATCTTGCTTGTTGTTCCCACCACTGATTTGGACCACATAACCCATCTGTTCTTCACCCAGAGAATCAGCAGTATGTATTTGTCACAGAAAGTACGAAGTTTGCGTTCATCATTATTTTCAATGAGTTTCTGGCAGCCAGTGGCTGGGAAAGAGAAGCTTCATCCTGAAGTGGCTGATCATCTCTGAGTTGCCATGGAAAAAGCAAGTAAAGCTTTTTAAAATGTTGTACCCTCTAGACTTAGAAGATACATGGTCTAAACATGTTCTTCTATTTTATTGGTTTCATATTAAATAATGCTAAACGAAGAATAAAATATAATGCAAACTGCAAATCTAATGCAATCGAATACTTTCCAAAAATAAAATAGCATATTAAATTAAATTTTAATTCTTCTCATTTTGACCTAATTATGTAATGTTTGGACACAGTAGGTTATTTTGCATGCATCTGATTTTAGAAGTTGGAAGGAGAGATTGTACAAGTGAATTTATTTTTTAATGTTTGCTTATAATTAGCAATAGATGCTATGGGCTCACAGAAAAAAACAACCAGGTATTTTTTACCTTTAGCTTAGATGATCTGACAGTCTGACAGTGTCATATTAACTGAGTTTGTATAGGAAAAAAAAAGACCTGTTGCTTAGTCACAAAGCCCTAGAGTGGAGAGATAGTGCATATGGGTAAACAGATTATCCAGTGATCGTTCCTGAGAGAAGCAGAGAGGTGCGTTTCCCAGTACCTGTCCTTATCTGCTTCACACCTGTCTTTTCCTAATGAAACCCTCTGGTAAATAATGGGCATGTGATGTGCAAGCACCTAAGAATATGCAGTCATTTGAAGGGATGAGTTATTTTCACTTCCATCAATGTATATAGTAGTATTAAGGTAATACAGTTGATACTTTGCACTTGGGAATAGAAGGATGCTATTAAGTTCATTATCCTGCCTGAGTCTTTTAGAATAAATAACAGTTGGCCAGGTGAAGGAATAGTGGCCCAAGATATCTTCACAAAACTCTAATTAATAGATAGATAGCTGCAGAGAGAAAGTAATCTATGAGTCTGTTTTACTCTGTTGCTCTTTGATCATAAAGGTTACAAATATTTTAATATTACTGATTTCAAGAACACCTAATAAAGAATATTTTGACAGTTATTATATTTAGAATATTCGAGGCTTTAATAGAAAATCATATTGTCTAGTGAGCAGATTTTAAACTGGCAATTATCCTCCTTTTTTTGGCCAATTTTTACCACCATGTAATTTTCGTATGTCTACTAATCTTCCACTTGAAAAATGTGAAAAGTATCTACCTTTCTCAACTTTTCGAGATGTTTTAATAGAAAAAAAAATCTAACAGATGTAAAAGTATTTCATTATCTTTCATCGGAAGAAAATAGTTTGTTTCTTTTTATAATTTCTAGCATCTTATATATTAGGCACTGAGTAAAAGTGGGTTAGTCTCAATATGCACCACCAGGAATTCCAACCTAAATTACAACATAATGTAAATTAATTTATGTTTATTGAACATAAATGCAAGCACAGTGGTAGAAAACTTTGTTATCCAGGTGGCTGAAGACAGAGAGAGCATGAACATTGAGCGCCAGTTGGAATAAGGCCTCTAGAAGAAGAGGGATCTCAGAATAGACTTAGCTTAAAAGTACAGATAAGATCCATTTTAGACTCAACTTAAAAAAAACAGCATAAACTGTATGGGTGTCTATCTTTAATTTACTTTTTTTTTTTTTTTTTT